TTCCATCAAGAACTAACGCAAACCTTCTTTTTTTTCTGTCTCACTTACTTCCTAGCACCCTCCGTCCGCTACATCAAGAAAAGGATTTTGCGCTTTAGCAACGGGTTCAAATACGATACCCGGAGCCAAGTCGTGATTGAGGCTGCTCTGCTGCTTCCCTCGGCAAGGGACAAACGAGTTTCCACCAGTTGGTGGAAAACTTTGATGGATTTCGGTCGTACGAGTTAAGGGGTAGTGGCAAGGTCACAGGATATTGCGCGGAACCAGTGTTGTCACGGCCCAACGAAATAAAACTGGATTTTGGGTATGACAGACACGCATGTCTAGGCCGGTTCTTTGCTGCAAAATAGATCAAGATGCCCGATGGAAAAACAGACATGTAATCCGCCCCCCCCCCCCCAGTTGATTGGGGTACGCATATTAATCCCGATGTGAGCATGACGCTTTTGTTTAAGAAGGTTGAAAGTGTAGGAGTTAGAGTTCCCTTTTCAGGAAAAAAAAGCTATAGAATTGAAGTCCACAACCAACTACATCAACCCATCCAAGCCGTCATCATGCACTTTAAGACTCTGCTCCTTTTCCAAGAACAACTCCTGCTCCACCCTGCTCTTCTCCACATCGACGAAGAAGTACAAAAACGCGCAGCTGACGAGACTCAACGAGAACAAAAAGTAGAACGGACTACTATTGTTGCCCGTATCATCGATGATGGCGCTACTCACGAGCGGCCCAATGAACGCGCTCGTCTTGCCTACAATCGAAAACAAGCTGAAGAACAAAAACTCCTTACCGCGCGGAGTGACTTCAGAAATCATGGTCTGCGAGTAGCTATACCACGGACACACGAGAAGCCCGTAGAAGGCTTGGTACACCCAGACTTCCCATTTGTTGTGGAAGCCGAAGCGCTGGGTCCATATGCCGACCATGCCCCAGCCGTCCAGCAAGACGATGCAGATGGCAACAACCATGAACATTGTCTTTGTCGAAAGCCCATACGATTTTTGTATGCGCCAGAATGCGCCGATACCGACAGCCTGAGCAGCAATGCCGACAATGAGCAGGTAGGTCAGCTGGAGGCTGTTGTAGGCGACGATTTCGTTTTGCAAGGTGCCAATGACCGTGACGGTGGTGTTGAGGCTGTCACCGAGAAGGAAGTAGCCTGCAAGATAGGCCAGACTCTGTCGCAACTGCCAGATCTGCTGCGAGGCATAGATGAGCTGTTTGAAGCCTGCGACAATGATGTTGCTGCGCCCTGGATCTTGGCCCGGACGTCGCTTTTCGAGGATGAACCAGGGGATCGCGCAGAGGATCCAGACGCCCGTCGCAAATGCAATGAGTACGGAAAGACCCCAGTTGTTGTTTGCCGCGCTGTCGTTGACGTGGAGCGCAAACATTATACCGACGATGACTGCGAGGATAAGGATTTCAAAGACGGATTGGGTGTAAAATGCTACGTTGGACAGCTCGTTTCGCTTCATCATGTCGGCAAATTCATAGTCTGCACGATCAATTTTGCCTTCTGCAAACTCTTCTGCCTTGATACGCAAATCCTTTGTATTGCGTGCGAGACCCGGGAAAGCAGCGGTCCAGAATGTGATTGTAGTCTGGTACGCAATGAGTCCGACAATGTAGAGTCCGACGCCAATGTGCCACTTGTCTTCGGTATGGACGCCCAGCCAGCCGAATCCAATGCCAAATGCGATTATCGAGAGTACGATGAGGATGTTTGGACGCCAGGTGCCGAAGTCTGCGAAAGAGCCTAGGATTAAGAAAATAACGACCTGGATGGCGAAGCTTATGCCGTTGCACAAAAGTACAATCGAGTTGATTGTGCGGTTTCGGCCCATGAAGAAGAGAGCTTCAGAGTCGCCGGCAGCCAGATACATGAGGTTTTGGAAGGCCGTAGGACCAAAGTTGAAAAGCGTCAATCCATTGTCTCCGACATAGTAACTATTGGCAAATGGTTAGAAGGGTTTGAAAACAGCCAGTACACCGCGCGAGAACGAGTCTCCAAAGAGGCATATGCCTACCAATAATACGCCCATATTTCCCATCGCGAAGTCTCGTAGCGCTCGTCGAATTGGTCGGGCGCGACTGGTGTATCCGTCTCAACTGGGACGTCTACAGCGCCTTTAATCGGATCATCACCTGGCGCGCTGAGTGGCGCAAGGCCCGGCTCGTTGGATGCCATGATCGGGACTCGTACAACGAGAAGAGCGGCCCTGAGAACAATAAAAGGCTGCGAGACCAAATGCCGCGCAACCTACGTCTTTTCTATGCCGCACCGGTATTCGCTAAGCAACACCCTAGTCGTTCGTCGCACCCGTAGCCCGGAGATAGCATGGCTAGCTGATAACAAAATGCATGGGGTTGGAATGCGCTTGCGATCCAGGCCTGGAAATGTGTGGCAAGCCGGGAGAAAACAGGCCTGTCACCTAGGACTTTGCGCGACACCATGCGGTGCATGATTGGGGCGAACACGATCAAGATATGCAAGCTATTGCCAAGTGGAGCTTGGCCGGTGGAAAAGATGTGGGGTGAAGCTGTGAAACCCTGAAGACTCGGTGAGCTACTAGGCTTTAGCGGGAATGGCCTACGCCACCGCCGTCGAGTCTTTGCAGCATGACCCGCTTTGGTATCTCAACCGAGTTTGCATGGGAAAGCGGCAGATGGTTCTTGAGAGCGGCTTGAGGCTTGTAGTATGTAGCGTGGTAAGGGTTGGATCCATGTTGAGTGAGATTCATAGCTCCATATCGTAGCCCCAAACCCCCCACTCTACCATAGCAGCTACATCTCCAAGCATTCAGCTTTCCACATTCTGATGAAGGAGAAGAAGATTTGTTACTCTCGGGATGCTTTACGGGGATGAGCGGTATAAGTGCAAGGTTACAGTTGAGTATATTGTCCATTGTTTATTTTATCCCTCTCATTCGAGACACCCGAATAGCCTGACTTGCTTCATCATTGTGGCCAGCCTTGTTGCAAAAGAAGCGATGCTGGACGCGCATCTGCCTCCTTATAAATTCTCAAAGTCCTTTTCCCACTTTGGAGAAGCCAAAAAGACGTCCATTACCTTGAATCCAATACCATGCTCATGAACAATGAGATACTTGGAGCCTTCCTCCCAGATCTCAGCGGCACATTCGAAGCATCGCTGACACACATGGTTCATGTCATCCGCCTGATATTCGAGCCAAAGCTCGCTCTCCTCCCATTCATTCTTCTCCTTCTCCCAAAAGCAGTTCGCACGAATCACTTGCCCAGTTCAGTAAACTCCAACCTTTATCTTGGTGGAAAGCCTGCATAAGGCGCTGGGCCTTGGCCACCCGGCCACGTTGCATTCGTATTCGCCGGAGCAGTATTAGCACTGTCCTGGCTTGGAGCGTTGTAATTCCTGCTTGTTGTGAAACCATTGCTGTACAATGGATCTTGGGATACTTCTCCCGTGGGATAGTTGGCAAACCCAGAATCGTTATTCAGAAAGAAGTCAATGTTGCTTAGCGCCATATTGCTTGACTCTTCAGCAAAGACATTGCTACTAAAGGTGGAGGGAACGGTGCTACCTTGTATGTTCGGGAAGAACGACGTGTTTGAGCTGTTGGACTGGTGCGTACGGCTAGGCATGAAGGAAGGTGGGGGTTGCTGTATCATGCCATTATGAGGCTGCTGTACGACGCCCGTGTTGACAGCCGAATGTACGTTAATCCCATAGTTTGAGTGAGTTTGAGCCTGCGATGCTGTATTATCCAATCCTGCATTCTGCAAAAGACCTGGCTGCTGCTGCTGGGGCGACAGATGGCCCATGGATTGTTGTCGTCCCATTGGAGGCCTGGGTTGCATCATAACACCGTGCTGTTGAATCGGAGACGGGCCATGACCTGGAGAGTATTGTCGTTGAGTGGTTGGAATGGGTGAGCTTGGACTAGACGAACTAGTGAAACTTGCCGATGGATACTGCCTGTATCCAATACCTTGTGCCATGTTCAAGGGCTGCCTTGGGGTTGGCTGAGCTTCTGTCCTCGGTGCACCTCCGCTCGATCCTGTAGGCGGATTTGAGCCCGTACTAATAGAATTAAGAAGGAAAGACTGGTTACGTGCGCGTTGAAATGCGGATGTAGTGGTTTCGATGTTTCTGGAGATGTGTTAATTATGCGTGTGTAAACTGGTTGCAACGCCTGTTGGCTTACCCATTGTGACTTAACCTTCTTTTCTTGTCTGAGTGGGAGGTCTGAAGTTGCTGCTGCTGTTGTTGCTGTACGCCAGGCTTCTGAGGGGTATTCTGCATTATACGAGTCACCATTTGCAATTTCTGCTTAGCATCCTCGGCCTCTCTCTTCACTCCTTCCAATTCTTTCGCCATAATCTCTAATTTTGATTGCCAATGCAATTGAGCATCCTGGAGCTTTATCTGATTAGTTTGAATCAGCTCAATCTCTCGCTTCCTGAAATAGGCTTGATCCATTTGAAACCTGGCTTGTGACTTTGCTATCGCATCTTTGTCTTTCACAGCTTGTTCCTTGTCCTGTTCAGCCCTAGCAAGAGATAGTTCCAGTCGTATGATCTTGTCCTTGAGGTCACGAAAAGTCTTGCCAGGTTGTGTTTCGATATCAAACTCGTCTGGCTGATTAACTGTAAAGCCAGTGTGGATTTCATGAAGTCCCCCTTCCAACTCTTGGATTTTAGCTTTTTTGGCCGAGATTTCAGTTTCCAGATGCGTGATTCGGACCCTGAGGGCATCAACCAATCTACTGGTCTTGATTGAATAATCATCAAATCTAAAAGCCAGCTCCTTCATCGTGTTTTGAACATTCCTAGCCTCGTTGTTGGCATGGAGCCTCTCTGTGTAGCGTGTTTGGGCGCGCTGCTTTGCCGCTGCAGTCTCGGCTTCAGCAGCAGCAGTGCTTTGCTCAGCTTCGGCGACGCGTTGGTTAGACTCGGATAATGTTTTAACAAGATGCGCTTTGTCTTGCTCAAGTTCAGCGATCCGACGCTCGAGGGTGGCGATTTGGTCAGGATATGGCGTGGGCGGCGAAGACTCAAGAGACTTTCTGGCCGACATGCTGGACACTGTCACAGGGTCCATATGGTTTGCAGCTTCTGATGTAGGATTCGAATGACATGACGTCGTTGACATTGCAATGGGAGAGACCACTATATGAGGTCAGCGCAAGTGAAGGTGTTGTCTAGCTAAACGCCAGGCTGATCAGACCCCCACTCTATGCGCTGCTGTATGAGTGTGAAGCTGTGATATTGTGTCGGCTGAGTTTGCGCTTGAGGTGCGATAAGCCGGTGTCAAGGAGGAATTGAACAATTGAACCCCTTTGCGAAAGAAAGGAAGCCCAAGTGAGATATTCTGCGTGCTGCGAGTAGTCTCACGACTGGGGAATCCAATTAGCGTGGATTGTACTGCTGAACGAAACACCGAGGTGTCATTGTTCGAGTTGTTTGTCGTGGAACAGATGTGTTAGTTCGATAACGTGAACGTACCATAGTATGCTGTAATTGTCTGGAAACAGCTCAGTTAACTTATATGCGGCAGTCGGATCGGTTGAAATTACTTTATAGGCATATATGTGCCAGTGAAGGCCGTAACCACGGTTAGCTGCGCTAGCCACGTGAGTTTGGGGTTTGGTTTGGGAAAATGACAAACGGAACTCTGGTTCCGCTTCAACACAAGCTGGAATGCGTACACGTGGCTGCAGCGTTCTTCTTTGCGACCATTTAGTGTATGAAAGCGATATGGGCCTGTCTCGTCCATTCTGGTCCAGCATATTCGGCGTGCCTTTTAAGATCCTTGTGGGCCGGAAGTGAACGTCTAGATTTTAGCTGACAGCGCTCGAAAATAAAGACACTCAAGAAATTCCCCGATGTTGATGCAAAGACATATTCGACGGCACGGTTTTCATCAAGGTCACTGCCGATGCCGACAAGTATAGATTCCTGTCTCTTTCACACATTTTCAATGAATCGCACATTGCGGTCTTTTGGAGAAGCCCTGTTGTCTTCTGTGATCTTCTTTCTTTCTCCGTCACACTAATACATCGTCGGCTGCCACGTGCCAGTACGCTATATTCAAGGTCAAAACAGAGTATTGAACAGTGCACATGGGGTGCGGGACAAGAGTCTGGCTTGCCGATACCCGTAGCGCTAGCGCCATGTGGCGTTGCTTGGTACTCACTGCTCACTGTTTCCTCGGCTTTCTGCCTGCATCTGCACTTTACGTATGTATGTAGTATCTATACGAGCTCTCGCCACCAAACCCCTCTTATTTCTCCAGATTTTGGCTGCGATGGAAATGCCGAAACTCTGGTGGCCCGGAGGATGCGCTCGACGATCCCTCCTCTAGATAATGGGCCAGCGCAAGCGTCCTGTTGGTTACAAAGTGCCGAGCTGGCTGGATTAGAGTTCACGATGCGACGTGGAGTGGCGCTATTCCTTGGGTCAGATGGCGGAATTTCCAAGTGAGCAGAAAGACTGGACGTGTGAAAACCGCAAGGCTGATGGCATCTTTTTGCCGTACAACTGACATTTGCATTGATGAGGCGAGAAACGCAACGGTAGTTAGGCATTTGAATGCCTAAATATAGTAAGCTCGGCGCAACACGAGGAGTGACGGATGATGATCAGCAAAATGACGTATCATGCACTAGCACTAGCAGCCACTAGCACCGGATGTGACCCCGTGGGTGCATTGCTTGCAGAGGCCGCTGTCTACTACGTACTACAGGTACACTTGGTTGCTGTCAAGAAATACAACATGGAAGAGTTCCTTCATGGTTTTGGCTGTAAAAGCGAAAGATTGCCATCTTCTATAAATATAGTAGCGGTGACCCAAGCTGGTCAAAGCACACCAAAGGGCTCAGGGTGTAAAATGCGGGAAATTAACAAGTCGTTGAGTTCGGATATTACGGCTGGGCAGGGCTTATATCTATCGGTCCGCACTGGGGCACTGTTTTGCTTGGACCCGGCTGCGGCGTCGTGCGGGTCAGCACTAGGTAGTCGTAGTGAGGAAACGACGTATGTACACTCGAAGCCAGGGATGTGGGGGAAAGGGAGCTTGCGTACTACTACATATAAATACACAGACCCCCATCCCCGAGAGGTTCATTCATCCACCATCCAAACATCTCTCTTTACATACACCAATACAACAACACACCAAAAACACATTTATCAACATGCGCTTCTCAACTCTCGCCACGGCTCTCGCCTCCATCTCCTCTGCCTCGGCAGCTATCTACGGCATCACCGCGCCAGCCGTTCTCTCCCCAAATGAGACTTTCCCACTCACCTTCATCTCCAACATCGACCAGTCGAGCGCTCTCGACGTCGCTGTAGCCTATGGCTTTAGCGCTCTACCTGCATACCGCGGCGCTCTCGGCTTCAACTACGAGACCATCTACCTTGCCGGTCCAGAGTCGGGATACCAAATGGGCACCAACTACACCGTCAACGTGGTAGCGCCCGCAGCTATTGCAGGCTACAACGGATCCGTTGTTGTCACCGCTTCTGTGTACCAGATCTTCGGATTCTCTGGTGTCTACAGGTTGAACTCGTTCAATGTTACTGCTGAGGTTGGTGACGCTTCGCCTAATGATGGTGTTGTTTCCAATGTCAACGGGGACACCAAGGCTACTTGCTTCCTTTAGGTCACGTGTGTGTGTTAGCGGGTAGAAATGACTATGGAAGCCACCGACATGGGAATGATACTAGACAGCGATTAGCATTATTAGAATAATGTCTGCAATAGAAAGATATTCATGTAAATAAAAAATGGTTTGCTGATACACCTTTACCTTTCTTGTCCCCACATGACAGATACAGTCAGCACTTGTGCCTTATTTGCTCCGAGAACATGTGCACGCACATGCACAAGACGAAGAGTACAACGAGTACGTAAGCTTCAATTTGAATTTTCAACCTTGTACGGAAGTCGCTCCCAAAAGTTATCGCTAGACCGGAGGAGCTCAGTTAGAAGTTAGTGCTAATAGGGGTGCCCGTAATATCACCGTAGTACTA